CGTCGTCCGCGCGGCGGATCTCCAGGAGCTGCCCGGGCGGGAACTCCCGCCGCGCGGCCGCGACGCTCGCGTCCTCGAAGTGATCCAACGGAACCGACGCGCGAGGCCGCCAGGGCGAGGAAAGCGAGGCGGAGGGGAGGGGTTTGAGCCGAAGACGCGGAAAGCGCCGCGCGGGCTCGAGACGGCTCCCCAGCAGCGGCGCGAGTAGCTTGACGTCCATCGCAAGGCTGGCACCGCAGGCCCGTCGGGGATCCCTTGGCGAGCGGACGAGACGGGAAACGAGATATCGACCCGGTCCACGAAAGATTCAAGGTTGGATGAGCTACACAAATCGCTTCCTTCTCCGCTTTCTCCACGAAAAAAGGAAAAAATGGCGCGCCTGTCAGCTGTCTTACACGGTGAGATCATTTTAAAAAATGATGGAAATGAAAAGAGAAAGAAAGACCCGTACGTAACGAAGAAGCGGGAACTCAGCACGTGCGCACATATCGAACCCCCAAAACAGGAAGCGCGTGATGGAAAGATCGATTAAGAATTAAAGATCCGCACCAAATACCTCTTTCGGCGCGTGAATCGAATCTGAAGAAGGGGTAAATCAAAAGAATAATACACCTTGGTGAATAAAAACGGGATAACTATAATGATAAAAAGGAGGGGCAAGTACATTAATCTCTATTGAATAAATAACGCGACGCCCACGCTTCCCCGACCTGAATTTCGTGTGGACTCTGATCCGAACGCTTTCCACGCCGCATGGAACGGAGAAGCGTGATGCGATCGGTGGGAACATAATTTTGGGAGGAGTAATCGAATGTGATCTCTTCACCCGCGCGAATATCGCGCACAGCGCGCACTACAACACTCCGATTTCGAGCAGAAACCACGGCGGCCGCCGTGCAATCGTGCGCCTCGGCATGATTCAAGCTATCCAAACCCGGAGAGTAGACGCGCACTAACCGATCCCGGAGTGGATTCTCATCAAGAAGAAGGGGAATCTGAAACACCCGCGCTCGCACGATGTACAACACCGCGAGCAGCACCTCATCAAAGGTGGACGGGTTGGCATCGATCAGACGATATTCCTCCGCCGTCGCGTACGTCAGGCAGGCATCGCGCAGATTCCACGCGAGCTGCTCCAGGCAGCTATGCGCATTCGCTTCGTCTCCAAGTGCCTGTTGAAAAAAACCCTCCACCCCGTAACGAAGAAACTCCGCGATCGGCAGGGAGCGGACGTAAATCTCCCCCGCATCCATCGCGGTAGCGCCTTCGCACCCTAGACGAAGCGCGACGCGCGTTCGCCGCGGAATCGCGAGGGCGCTCGCAAAAAAATACCGCACCCCCACGCAAATCGCGATCGCCGCCTCCACAGGGGATAACGTGAGTGTTACGACGGCCGGGGAGGACCCTCTGAGGGAGGCGGAGGCACTCAAAGCAACGCTCCCCCCTCCCCCCTCCTCGCTGGCTTCCCCCACCACGACGTCAGGGGAAAGGCGCCGCAGCCACGTCCAAAACTCCGGAAACAACGCGATCTGGCGGTTGCAACGCCGCAGCTGGAGCAGATCCCTCGTTTCACTGGAGTTCCCACCCCCTTGGAGGGGAAACGGAGAAGAAAGGCCATGGGGGAAGTAGACGTAAGGAAGGGGAATGGAGAGAATGAGAGCGCCTCGTGGGATGAGGCGCCGCGTGAAGACGCCGCGCAGGCCATCTGAGGGGCGCTCCGCCTGTCGTAGCGCGGGTGAGAACCTCGCGCCGTGAATTCGGTGCAAAAGCGACATGTGGAGCCCTATAATCCACCTTATCCTTCTCTTCTTATTCCTTTTTTGTTTGCTCCTAGACTTAGTGAAATAGTAGACAAGAGCGTGGGGAAAGAATAAAAAGAGTCTACGAAAGTAACAGAGAGGGTAGAACTCGAAAAGTATATATAATGAAAAAAGAAGGAATAGACTGGGCAGAACCTCTTTGTTTGGGATATTTTAAAGGAGGTTTGATAGGAAAAAGATGCAGTTTGTGGAAAATTACATATACTAAAGAAGTATGCATATTAGCAGATATGAGCAAAGCGCAATTGTCCCATACAATATCCAACGTATGCATCAAAATCAAAGGGCTTAGTGAGTATCTCGCAGATACGGGTAGCAAGATGGCAATTGAATATGCGATTACCTTGCCATTGCAGTACTGCTTCACGCATTTGTACCTAAAACCTTGAGGATTAGATTTAATTCTAAAGAAATCTATTCCATTGGTTAAGTTTGGTTTTATTTTCCTTGGATAAGAATCAACATCAACGAGAAAGAAAATATGGAGGTGAAAAAGAAGCAATATGAACAATAATAATTTAAGAAAACATTCCCTCTGTGGACAGATTACCATGGATTTGTTGCTCAAATACGGAATGAGAAAAATAAATTTTGCTTGAAAGGGCAAGTAGTTCCCCTCATGAAAAACAATAAAGGAAGACTACCTGCGAGTTCTCGTCGGAGTGGATAAGCATAGGACTGGCCGACCCTATTCCCATCAGTGGCAGCGTTCTTGCGTAAGGCTAAACACGCTAGCGTACAGCAATTCAATGCTTTTGATTAACGCTGAGGATAATAAATAAATTCCCACAGATTTTTACAGAGCAACCTGCAAGCGATGGTGAGGGCGTACTACCATACCCTGCAAAGCACACAGCCTTCGAGACCTCCCCTCAGCCGAACCAGCTATCGATGTGAAAATAACATCATTCCATCTGTTTTATGCCCACTTTAGAAAATAAATAAGTTTGTCGTGCAAACCGATGACTATCGCACACAGAAGCGTCTGCTGTGATGATCGTTATCAAACCGCGAAGAGTTTTGATGAACCCCTCGTCGTTCGAGTCCGATGAAAAAGCGAGAAAGATCCTAGAAAGATTTTATGCAAATGTGCTGCCCCACTCTCCTCTTGGACGCCGTCATCAGTATCCAATGTAATACTCCTTACAATCAACATCCCCCGTTCATACCGCTCAATGCTAGCATAGGAGTCCATGTTATGTTGCGTCGTAGATTCACTGAATATTGCTGTTTTTAAAAAGAATCCATTTTGAAATGTATGAACAGCATCAAGTGTGGCTCTTTCCATAGCGACCATACACCTTTAATGGACAACGGTTTTTGGGTCTAGCACGACCACAATGATCAATAAACTTCTCAAAACTTGAAATAAGCGTGGCATTTTTTTTAAAAAAAATGGCATTGATCTACTCAGCTTACGATTTCTGCACGCTTTCTTTTTTCTTCTCACCGTCAGATATGGGCGGAGCACCCCACGCGAAAAAAAGAAGAGCGATGCGCATGTGGCTAAAGCGCCTATGAGTATCCTGAAAGCGATGTTGTTCTTCCCCTGATGATCATGAATAAATGCCTCATGGAGACGCACACTAGATTATATCACTGTCATTTTCGTGTAGCCGCAGCAACTCTTCAAAGACTGGGTTGTGCTATGCTCGACACTGTTCAAGGGCATGAACTGCACACAACAGGCACTTCTAAATTGTATCTTAAAGACAGATATAGAAACGTACAATGCTTGATTTCAGGAGATTCAAGGTGTGATGGTATGGCTCTGTGTAAGGACAGGCCTTCAATACATTGGCCCAGCAAAGGTTTGCCCAATTTGATCCTCTTTCTTTTGTGGTAATGTATTTAACCTCGCAAAATCCCCAAGTTTTTTACCATACGTATTCAGCGGTACCATAGCCCTTACGACAGATTCAATAAAATTATAACAGAAGGCGTCCCTTCTCCGGGAAACACCTAAACAAGAGATCAAGAGGAGAAAAATTTATAATCAGCAACAATAGATAATCGAAGGATGGATGGCGTTGCCTGTCTCTTGTAAGAATTAATCAAGGAGAAATAGGGATGCTTCTCAACAAAAAACAATAACCGTATTATTTACCCGCCACCACTCTATAAATATGCATACTATAACCACTTGAGTATTAGAAATCTAGATAACTGATATTTAAATTATAATGGCAAAGAGTAGATGGACCTTCATAGGTGAAATATAATACGGATTAATTATCAAGAAAAAAATGATATTAATCAAAAAATTTCTACGATTACTTCAAAAAAAACCTTTTCACTCCGAGCAATTTATATTTGCGGGTATAATCGGAAAGGACAAAATTTGAGACATGAGGACGGGAAGAAATGGATATAAACGCGCACTGGCACGAACTGCCTTCGTCTTTTTATGTATGAATACATTATTTTTTAGGATTTTTCAGTTTAAACCGTGTAATAAACATTAAGAAACTCCACAAGGATGTCGTTTATAATGCCGCGATCAGGAATTCGCTGCACCGTACCGTACAGTGAAACACCCGAGTCGTTTATCTTCACTTTTTTCCCCTCCGCAAAGGACTTAGTCTGGGCTTCTACCACCACTTGCATGGACTCCCTCAGATCCTGAACAAATTTTTCGGCTGCCCCTTTCTTGGTAAAGAGAAGGGTCACGCTGCATTGCAGGCCTGATGGAAACTGCAGCCGGTTGAGAACCCATCCCCGCCGGTCGAGCTCCGTCCCTACATCGAAGATGTCAACCACGTCGCTGGTGAAGGCAAAGACGCTCGCGATGGGGTCCCCGATAACGCGCAGGCCAGGGATGCTGGCCACCCCATCCGTCATCGTCTCGCGCGCCGTCACGATTTTCGCGCAGCAGGCGACGTACCCCTCGAACCCCATCCGCACCATCGCGGCCCAGGTCCCCGCGATCACACTGCCGGACTTCGAGCCCGACACCGCCGGGGAGCAGTACATCCCCCCCATCCAGTCCGTGACACAACAGAACTGAAAGGCCCGCAGCTCCATTGTACGGTAGAGCACCGTGGAGGTCCCTTTGGGGGAGTAGCCGTACTTGTGCGTGTCACAGGAGATCGAGGTGACGCCGCGATTGCGGAAGTCCACGACGGGCGCCGCGCGGCCGGTTCGTTCCAGAAACGGCACGATAAACCCGCCTAGACACGCGTCGACGTGCATCCCGACGCCGCGCCGGAAGGCGATCTCCGACAGCGCGGCGATGTCGTCGATGACACCGTGTGGGAAGGTCGGGGAGGAGCCCACGATGACGACGGTGTCGTACCGGATGTACTTCTCGAGCTCCCCCGGGACCACCTTCATCGTCCGCGGGTCAATCGGCACCTTAATCAGTTCCATGCCGAAGTAGACCGCGGCCTTGTCAAAGGCGGGGTGCGCTGTGACGGGCGCGACGATGGAGGCGTGCTCAATCCCGCGCGTCGCGCGCCCCCAATCGCGGTAGGTTTTCATCGCCATGAGGATGCTCTCGGTGCCGCCTGACGTCACGGTGCCGCATGTATCCGGCAGGAGATGCCCGTGATACATACTCAGCACCATGGAAACCACCTCTGCCTCCATCTTCCGCGTCGCGCCGAAAATTTCCGGATGCAACGGATTACTCCACTGGAAAAGCGACATCACGTCGTTTATGAACTTTGTATGCATCTTTCCGCCGTGGTAAACAACGCCGCTAAATCCGTTATCCTCATACGACCGATCGAGGTCGTCGTGAAACTGCCGGAGCATCTTCAGCACCTCCTCCTCGCTGGTGCTCTTTTCGGGAAGCTCGGTCGGCTTAAAATGCCCCTCCGCGGAGGGCATCGTAATCGACTTGGACGCCTTTTTAACGGCAATCGTGATGTAGGGTTTCCCCAGGAAATGAAAGACACGCCATGCGGAATGGTAGGCGCGTTTTATCAAGTTCCCCTGTTTGAGGGTGTCATAAATAAGCTTTGCGGCAATAGTAGAACCAATGGAGATGTAAACCACTTGAGACGGTGGCTTGCCCCGAAAAACTTCATTAAGATAATCTGTAAGTGTTGACATTTTATCCATTACTGGAAACTAATTTAAAGACTATTTCTAATGCAAATACACCTGCATGTATATATATATATATATATATACGGCTATATATAGCCCTTTGTGTGTACCGAATGTTTATTATGCTTCTCCTATATCTTTCCAAGAAAAGAAGCATATCAACCAAATGGAAAAAAAGCGCGGTTGCTTGGTCTTTAGCACACATTCAACAATTTAATGTTCGACCATTTTTCTATCTTATAGCTTAGTGTGCATACACACGAGATTCAAAGATCAAACAGACACATTATAATCATACTCATTCTGCATCCTCTTTGTGTTTTATATGGTCAAGACTTGGCCATCGTGGCCGTCCAAAACAAAACCAAACAAATATCCACACAAGATTACATCCAACCGGATCTGTCCGGTGTTTTTGCGGTAGGAATCTGTAGGAAAGGGGGAAAAAAATATGACTCATCCGTCAGTTCTACGTTCTACATCTCAACACAACAAATTTCAGGATAATAAAATATAACAAAATTCACAACCTTCATGCTCCGAACTTCAATCTAAGTGACATTCCGATCACTGAATGCGCTCCGAAAGACAAGGCTATCGTAAGAAATCTTCCAGAAAGGTAGAAGACGCGGCTTAGCTTGATGGAATGGCTCATCGGTGTGTGGTATGCATTACCACAGCAGGCATAGGAAAGGAAGGAGTTACTACGAAGCAGGTGGAGGTTGTGTCGCTGTCCTTTTGATAAATTTAGCTTTTAAGCTACCATAATAGAAGCCATTAAGGTAATATGATAGGCTTGCTTTAAATTCCAGAACAAACTTCGGATGTGATACTCGTAGAGTAATACATCGCGATTGGAGACTTTTGAGTATTCACCTGAGAAGGTGCATTTTTGAAGAGTTGCTATCTCTCGCTCCTCTTTTCATGGGCCCTCATGACAGCTCTGCCAGGTCGAACTTCAGGGGAATAAAGAGATCCTAAAAGTTCGCCTAAAACAAAAAAATTATAATCATACAATTTAAAGTGTTTTCTTGATAAATTTGTGATAAATAAAACGGAACGATAAATTTTCACTTAGAGAAATGCTCACGGATGCTATTCGACACCTCCCTCACATCAGAAAATGTGTTGGAAAAAATTTAAATACCCTTGACCATTAATTTTTGCTTTGATAGATCGAATAATATTAACATCAATAGCAGGTGAAAAAAAACATTTTTTAATACAAACTAAAATAATTTAGAACAGTAACGAAACTAGCCACAGTTAGTGTTGAGAAGAGCGACACAATTCGAAGTCGATAATTTATGATGAATCACAACCTTTATTTTAAAAACAATTCTCATATTTGAAATGTGATCAAAAATAGAAGCCAATACGTCGTATTCAGTTTTTCCCGACGAGACATAATAGGTTAACTGCATGAAGAAACCAGCCGTTACAGCCCCTCCACCCTTTCTTCTCACACTCTCCCCCCCCCCCCCTCCCCATCACCCCCATCCACACCGCTGGACGTCGGTTATGCATATAATCGTCTAATTCAGGTCGGGGAAATTGGAAGGGGAATTTGTACAGGCTCTACTATTTTTCAGGGACCAATTTAGATGAATTAATTATAGGCGCGCAACTAAGATCACCAAGTTGTTAAGCTTTCCCATTACCTACCTCAGACTAACACTCAGTCTGTTGCTTAGGAACTTGCTTTACATGTGGAAAAAACCCATTTAAGACCCTCCTCTAGTCCATCGCTTGTTTTTGCACTACAACCCTGAATCTGCCATTTGCGTTCCCGGTGCTCCTCGAGTTCGAGTGCCGTGGCTATGACTTCCGGAGTTTTTGAGGTGGCGAGATCCTGCTTGTTGGCAAAGACCAGAACCGGAACATTTGGTATGCCCTCCAAAATCTCCTGAAAGGTATTATGGGACTCCTCTAGACGACGTGTATCTGACGAGTCGACGACATAAATAACGCAATCAGTGTTGTTGTAGTAGTCCTTCCAGAACTCTCGTATCGAGCGCTGCCCGCCGAGATCACACAGCTTCGCACGCATCCCATCGCGGGTGAGCTCCATCGTGTTGAAGCCTTGCGTGGGGCCCTCCGGCGCTGCAGGGGTTGCGGAACTCCCTTCATTCTGCCGTAGAGTATTCAGAATAGTCGTCTTCCCAGCGTTGTCGAGGCCGAGAATGAGCACACGTGGCTCGTCACTTCTCTTCATGCGAATGCGAACACTTCGAAGCATAGTTTCGGTGACAATAATAATAATAGTAATATTTGATAATACAGGCTATTTAAAATTATATAAATAAATATACAGATATTTATATATAGATGTATATTGTGCTTTCCTTGAATAAATGGTTGAACGGCTCAATCACGTTAAGTTAGTGGAAAAAATAAACTGATTGATTTCTTCTATTAATTCAATACTACTTGGATGATTACAATGATGGGGGAACAAACTTGAAATCAAATTAAATGTAAAAAAGATAACATGATGCCTTAATTGACAGAAGTAACCAAATAAAATTGCTGAAAGTCATGTGAACCTGAATGTTGATACACCATGAAGGCCTCATGTATCTGAAGTATTGAGCTCAAGTAGGCCTCAACATATTGGACATGATGGTGAAAAGCAGATGGGGAAAAAATTAAAATAATACGAAATTACGAATAAAAGTCATGGTAGCAGTCACACAGAAGATTTCTTATCTGCGTAATGTGGGGCATAAAAGGTCTTAAGGATATATATATATATATATATTGCCTGTGTACCTCTGAAAATTACGTATTCTTTGATTCATGGTTTTGCATGCAGTTAAAACACATTTTGTGCTCTAGGCACTGATGCAACCACCGGAGCGAGCTCTCCAGTTGTTCACGACTGTGGCTGACGCCTTGCAGGACGCTTGACAGCTCCTTTGTACGCATCTCCAGGTCCTCTACTTCCGTTTGAAGGATGGTAAGCTGGCGGCGGTGCAACAATTCCACCTGCTCAAACTTCAACTTTTCTTGTTGAATTTGCTGTTTGAGTTCCTGAGCCGCGTGTTGGGCGGTGATATCCATCTTCTCCACGATCACTGGCGCGGGATCGAAGCTTGGCAGCAAAGCATTCGACTCAGGGGTAAGTTGGCTACGCATGGGGTCCCTCAGTCGAGCCAACTCCACGGTGAATTCCAGCACTTCCTTTTCTATCACCTCCTTTTCCTGCTTCTTCGTTCGAAGATCCTCTTCCAGCTGACGAATCGTCTCCCTGAGGCCACTCACAACTTGGTCACCCGTGAAAGCTTGCCGAAGCTCCTCCAGCTCCTCCGATTTCTCGTGAAAAGCACGCCACTGAGCATCCAGCTTCAACAATTGCTCAGCCGCGTGGGCGCGCAACAGCGGCTCCTCCGTCTCGCAGTGGCGGGCGCGGGAGGACTCCACCACCAGCTGCAGCTCCACCTTCCGCTGCTCCTCCGTCAGAGAATCCAACTCACGCTTGAGCTCTTCCTCTTCGGCGTCCATCGCGTCAGCCGTCTTGCGAAGTTCCTTCGCGTCCTGCGTCGCGAGCATCATCTTGGTCTCGAACTCTTTTTGCGATACGGACATCATCCGACGGCGCTTGTCAACCTCATTCATGTGATCCACGAGCAAGGCCGTGGAAAGATCTTCACGGGGCATTTGTTAGGGATTAAAAAGACGACCGGTATTTGAATCCAAGTAATGTACCCACCTCGCCGTGCCACAGGCAGATGAGCGAGCTCTTTATGCGGCGGTAAATTTTTTCTCTTTTATACTCGGGTATGCAAAGTGAGAAAAAATTATAAAAAGTTGGAAAGGGATAGACTTTAAATGAACTGAAGGAAACAAGAAGGTTGAATGGCATTCCGCCAGAGATTCACGCTAAGTTTTGTGAGTATCGTTTGATAATTGCGTCCTATACCATGGACAGGATAAATCAGAATATTGTACATAGCGCGTGCTACTGATTTACATACAAAGCACTCAGTGAACTTTCACTCATAAAAATATTCCAGATGAACCATTTGGTTGTTCTGAAATCGATAAATGAATCTCACTCTAAGTCTTCTTCGAAAAGTTCACATTCCTGTTCGATCCAACGAGACATAAAGCAACCCTGCGAGGAGGCCAAATGGCGTTCCGAGATCGGCATTTTTTTATCTTCTCGCAATCCCATATTCAAAATGGATTCCTCCTTCTCGGAATCCTCCAACTGTATACAGCCCACCATGTTGGCATAGGAAGACCACAGGCTTTCCTCGCATTGCTCCATTATCTGCACCACAACTGCTTGACAAGCTGTATGCAAAGATGAGGGTGACATGTCCTCCAGTACCCATGACGAAACGACGTCAAAACTACCTCCAAAGAAAACGCCGTGCAATGAGAAGCAAAGCCACCGTTGTGTTCTCTCCAACGTCTGTAAGGAGCTTGATAAGAACAGCGGCTCCGCAACCAAACCATGTAGTTTAAGGCAGAAAGGCATCCCATGAGCACACAGAGAGGCGACAATCGGTTTCGCTCGCAGTTGTGCCTCTATCTCAGAGAATAGAAGCTCTTTATGAATATTAACCTGCGCTATGAATCCGCATGAAGTAGATAAAAGTATCTCTTCACCATTACTAACCTCTATACTTAAATCGAACACATAAGTAGAAGCGAGAAGTAACACACCACGCTCACTGCTAGCCTCAATGTGAGTCGGTATGGGTGCCATCGTAGTGCCGAGCGAGCTAACGCCGACAGCGCGAAGTTGCACATCCCCCACAGCTCTATCACACATGAGATCAAAGAAAAGGGCGTTATCGGAGCCGGGATACCCCTCCAACAAGATCAGACCTAGACGTACGAACGGTAGCGTACCGCTGAACCTAAACCCGCCGCGGTTGATGACGGCGACCAAGTCCTGGGAGAATTCTCCGTTACACTCGGCAGAGCCAGCACCGCGCAATTCATGTTTGACAGCATCCACCACCACCTTCATCGAAATTCGAATGTTCAGATTGCTAATGAAGGACCAATACTTATCACGGTGTGTATTGGTTTGTTGGGATTCGTCCCCGTTCGACGCATCGAAAAAGTTCTCGGAGAAGCGCAACACTTCCTCCAGTGGTGCCTGAACAAATTCCACGGCCATTTCCCTCCATTTATCCCAACGAACCCCTGGGGGGAGGTCATAGGAGCAGGTGTAGTTTTTCCCATTCGGCAGGAATAACCTCCCGGAGAGGGTCACGTAATCGATTGCGTAGGGCGACACCAGGGCGAGAGCAGAGTCGTCAAACCCCACATCCCGCGCCGCCGCTGCGGTCCCTAAGATCGATATATACGCGATGTAGGCATCCGGGATGAATTGACATGGAATGCAACCACTGGAAACGCCTCCTCGGAGCGTCAAAAGCGCTGGTGTGGAGGACAGCGACCCCACAAAACTTACCAAAAACGACTTTCCCTCTTCTTCTTTCTCGTCGCTGCTTGTAGGTGGGCGGAGGGTGGCTGGTGGTGCGGTGTTAAAGTAATACCGCGCGCCATGAGTAATAAAGTTGACCTCAAACTCCACTCCTTCATTCATTTTCGATGTTAAAGAGCTGCTTAGAAGGCGATGATTGTACACATCCCGCCTATGCGGCGTATTAGATTTTCCAGAAAGAGGGCGAGAGGAGTTGCTGCTACTTGGACGTGGTATGTTACTGGAAGAGGGACTGTTTAGTCTCATGCTCAGCTCAAATTCAATTGAATCCACTGTAATTCCATAAGCGTTGAGGAGACGTGCCTCGCTGCCCGGGAGCGTAAAGCGGATCACCGCCGTTTGGCTGTTAGCTGAGGGGGTATTAAACGTCATCAAGGCACTGCATTGATCAAGAACGGGTTGTGGGTAGATGCGCCACAACATGTCGAGAATAGGGATCGGACAGGACGCTAAGGCCATGCGCTGAATAACATTCACGCCGTAGAAGATGCGATAGGGAAAGGGACTCGATATCGACTTACCGCTAGAGCTTCCAACCACTTTGAGGGGATATTTGTCTGAAAAAACAACTTCATTGAGTGCGTAACAAATGATTACTGAATTGCCGTCGGAATGAGTACCACTCGTTGGTGGCGCCCTGAAACCGGCGTGATAAAGTGGTAAGAGACCCATGGAATGAATCGCCCGCCGGCACTGCGAGCCGTTCATGTAAAGGGAAATGACAGGTGATGCAAGATGTGGGCTCAACGCATTTATAGAAGGATTCTTAATCTGTCCCATATCACGCTGAAGTTCCAGTGATAGGCTCCAATAGACACTATAATTCACCGAAAGGCCCTCAACCCCATGAAACAGACCCTGAAGTTTCCCAGTAATCGATAGGCATGGATAAAACCATGTATTTTTCTTGCAGAATGTAAAAGTGGAGCCGAGATTCATAGGTTGCCCAATAAGTTCAACCAAGTGGCCAAAGTTACAACTGTAATTCTCGGAGGAGCAATAAAGAATGTAATTAAGGTCAGACTCAAGATTCGTCATATCAGGAATCACGGATCTAACCGATAACGGGAGGGACCTAGGGCTCAATAGGCTCCCCGCGATAATCTCTTTTCTTTTTCTAATGATAAATCGTTCATATTTTTTTTTTAAGGACCAAACGCATTCGGCGATGTTTCCAAACTTATCGATTTCCCCGGCCTCGAGCATCCCGCTCGCCTTACCTTTCGCTTGAGTATAACCTGAAACGCACTGCGCACAAAACTCCTCCTCGTGGTTGAACGCTTCGGCTTGCCACGTGGCGTAGGCGGTGTTGCTCATCGCCAGGCGGAGACCCTGCATCTGCTCGACAAACGCACTGCCGACGCCCCGCAGGGCGAACCATTGAACCCGGCTGACATCCACGGTGGTGCCGCTCGGGATGTGGCGAAGACGCAGCCGCCAATGCCGGAACGACTCCCCCGGGTGCTTCCAGGAGAGCGCCACTAGGCCATCAGAGAGGGCGGCCTCCGCGAGCGGCACGAAGTCCACCCCATTATGGCAACTCTCGACGACGAGGGAGAGAAAACGTGCACGCGCGGCCCCGTCGGATGACGCATGAGGCCCCTTGGCCTTCCCGCCGACGCGTTTCTTGAGAGGGTTGATGCGGCGCAGAGAGGAGGCTCGACTCCGCTGCTTCGCTGTGGGCCGCGGGGAAAGATCCTCCGCGGCCGCCTCGCCCTGCGATTGCAAGGAGCTGCGCATATCCGGCGCGCTCAGACGGGCATATACACACACGCTATCGAGGTGAAGAGGGGAGGAAAAACTCCAGCCGATCGTCGGCTCATTCTTCGTCGGGTTTCCCTCGTGGTCCATGCAGGGGAGGCTTCGCAAGATGACCTGGTCGGGGAAAGGAGAAACCGACGCACCCATCGAGCGCGCACATAGCTCGTCTAGTGGATAAATCTCTTCGAAGCCATCACAACTTGAAGTCATACCCTGAATGGCGTTCACATCGACTCGAAACGGTTCCTCCCTCCCAACTCCCAACCACTCGACAGACATGCAGATCTCCTGCTCCGTTGCCTCCCGGTTCGCCAGTGGGGATACCAGCTCTTCAGCTCCATCGTCCAAAAGGGGAGCGTTGAACGAGTTCACGTACTCACCGCGGCCGATACGACGCAGACGCCAAGAGGAACTAGGAGGGCCTGAATTCCAGCCTTTTAGCACGTTAGTCGGCATCAATGGATCCTGGCTCGCAATCCGACTCACCTCTCTCCATGTGATGCCATCTAAATCGAGCCGCTCCACCACACACTCACTTCCAGGAGGAAGGTCACTCACTTTCACGCCCATCATAGCCTCAGGACGAGATAACTGGAGCTGCAGAACAGTTTCTTGCACCCCATCCGCATTTTCCACCAACTTTTCTTGGTCTGAAGGAATTACCTTATAAAGAACAAATTTTGATGTCAGCCACCTCACCCGCTTTAGAAGCATGAAGCCATTCGGGTGGGAAGTAGAGGTGATCCGTAAACGCCAGAATCGGTAGTGCCCGACGGCTTGCCAGCACGCGGCGCTGACAAGCTGACGAAGACTAATATCAATATAGGAAAGACTAAGCCATTTAACCTGATCCTGACTGCACTCAACGCAGAAGCCTACTAGCATTGCGTCCGTTTTTGCACATTGTAATTCGACGCCACAGATGGCATTCTCAAGTATCGAAAAGGAAGTCATGTCGAGAACAACCGAGTTACTAACAGAGGTGCTCAAGCGGTGGTACCCATGGTTCTCCGTGGCTGCCATGTCAGTGTCGGAGTACGATGGTTCGGCACAAGCGCTAACCCAGAGCAAGGAAGTGCAAGGAATGGCATGGCTGTGGTCCGAGGATTCAAGTTTTAGTAAGGGGCACTGAGCAACGTAAAACATAAGCTTCTCAATCACTAAAGCAGAGGCAACTTTGAATTCCAACTTCCAAAAGCGTGAGGAGCCTAGTACCTCAGTAGTATCCCAGAACACTTTTAGGGATTCAAAAGGGCTTGAAAAGAAGCCACAGCGGCTCCACGTGACAGTGTCATCGCTACACAGAACCTCCACCAGCAACTGTGAATGACGCAACAGAGAGTTTGAACTACCATCAGCCTCTTGATTGTGAAGTCTGCGCATGATAGAAAGTCCAGAAAATGAAACAGGTGCGTTTGAACCATAATCAATCAAAATGTAGTGTGGCTTTGTGGTGTTCTCGACCACAGCGTCTGGGTTCGCCCCGAAGGCAACAAAACCACTACATGGAGCCTCGATGAACAGCTCCCTGGCTGAACTGATGAGTTGCCCGCTGGTACTCATTCGCGTTGGTAGCACACGACAGGTCGTGTGTGGAACCACCAAAAGTCGAATACTGGAGTAGAATATCACTTTCTGATCTTCCTTTTTCGTGGGCTCTGCGGGGGTATCCTGATCAGGGCTAGATGCATCACACACCGTGGACAACCGCCAAAAGCGATGGGAAACCCCTTTCACACAGGTCGGCGACCACGTCGTTCGAGCAAAGAGTGAGCTCTGACGATGACGACTCGCAGTACGCCAGTAGATGGCATCGTCGCTGTACTCCACGATCCACAGCCGATTCGCGTCGACGCGTCGACACACCAACTCAACGCCCAGTATCAGGAGCGGGTGGCTGCGTAAGTCCACCATCACAACCGCGTCGCGCCGCCGCAGGCCCCATGCTGGAAGGGCGTATTGAAGGCGGTGGAAAGCCCGGCTTAGGGGAATCGTACTTACCATCCACGAGGCCGACGACGACACGGTGTAAGGAAGGGGGTGGTGCGCCACAAGATCCTCGGCAAAAATAACAAAGCTATTGGGGCTCTGTGGGGTGGAAAAGATGCAAGAAATGTGTTTATCCCCTAATTCAGGGCAGTTTAGGTGCGGATTTTGGTCGAGGGGCATAGGCCCTGACGTCACAACACGGCGATCCACATGCCAGCACAGCGTGCTCAGGGCGTTAGCAGAGGATTGGGTTCTGTAGATCACACGTATCTCCTGTGGAACACGCCAGACATTGGTGATATGTACAAGATCCTTTTCTAAGTCTACCGGAATCCCATAAAATTCTTCCGCTTCCTGCCAGCACACAACAGGCCCTTCCGCACGGCCCTCTTGTAAATTCCAGTGTAGCCGGAAGCCATCGCGCAACAGGGTTACAATCCGTGCCGAGTACTTTAACAAGTGTGTGTAAAAGATCGCGTCGAGGCCTGTGTGGAATGGGTAGGGCATCTTGTTGAAGGCTGGGTGCCGGCGTAGCGCAACCGAGCGATTTCCCATTACCTCGTAGCGATTGAGGTCCATCTCCGAGAAGCAGCCACCGCAAAAAAAGAGAGCCGTAGACGCTACCCCGACATCATCGGGGCGAAGAAGAGGCAATACCGCGCGTCGCTCCCACCAGCCATGAGATGTTGGCGCCGCAAGCACCGTACTTGCGGCGCTGCAGCTTAGAATATTTTCCGGCTTGCCTACAACGCATGGAGCAACGATGCTGACCTCCGGTGCGTCCTCCTCCTCCTGAGGAGTAAAGGCCTCAAGGGCGCTGAGTTCGCACAGCGTAGGTTGCCACACTGCGCGATACCAGAGCACTCGAGCAATCCCGAAGTCACCCAGCTGAGCTACGGTGGGAGAGTCGACGTTGGTATCCAAGCCGATCCGCCAATATCGCATTGGGCACGTCTCCTTCCATGAGGCGAACACCAGATGCCCACGCACAGTAAAATCAAAGGCAACCCGCTGAAAGAGGATCCCACCTTCGCTAGACTCGACAAATAGCTTGACATCACTTCCCCCAACAAAAGGAAGATCTGAAAAGTTCGATATAGGATCAAAGAAAGCGTTCGTGACGATGATGACTGCCCCAAAGAACTCAGCCTGATCGGCACCGAAGTCAAACAGTATCCACGATTTTGAGGTTGACGATGGCGCCACCGTGTCGGGCTCCTCCTGTGCATCTTGATGGTGATAATAGTAGTAACAAACCTCCTCTTTATTCCCGGTAACATTTTTACCGATTTGCTCTGATGCTATTGGGGAGCTGAGAGTCATGAAAGAGTTGGGGAAGGTATTCAACATGGTGTGCGACGTCGGCGTCCATTGATGCGCTGTCACGACTACTCCCAGATTCGTAGAGTAGGACTTTGTTTTAACTGACGATGCATCGACATCAAAAGAGGGCAAATCATGTGAGTCAAAATCGATAGAGGTCGTCAATTCGGCGGCTCTAGGCTGATAGGGCTCCAAGGAAATGAGTTGGGGATTTGTACGTACCTTATGCTCCACCACGGCGGAACACGCTTGCGATAGCGCCTCTAAGGCGACCTGACGAAAGGAAAGTGGTAGTCGAGCAAACTTCGAGTCTCGCATAGGGATGACTGAAGAAATTGAAAGCCAGTGATCGACGTTAACAGCACTGGAATCCACCCTCATAATGATCACCTCTCCACATGTCATGGGGAGTAAAACGGTATAGACACCATTGGAAGTGCACACTTCAGAGGATGCCTTGCCGTGCCCAACCCCATTTGGGTGTTCCTGCAGTACAGCCATGGGAATTCCACCGGTGATGAAACGGTTCATTATTTCCTTTCCGAACGGGGGATTTCTAAGATATCTGTGCTTATTCACTCCTGAGACATCGCTGGAGGCGTCGCACATGTTTTGCTGGGCTTTTTGCTGGCTACCCATCCCCATGGAACGCAACAGTTTTTCTTCAGACAAAAAGGGTGCATCTTTGAGTGCACTCGAAACAGATCCAAGAAACCGTACCTCCCCCTTTTCCAAGTCATAAACAACATACTCCTGTGACCGACTGAAGAAGGCCACTAAAGGGGTACCAGGAAAAGGCAATGCCGCGGGGATGCCGCCGCTCTCTACCCTTGTGAAAATCTCAGGTAAATGGGTAAGTGGTTGATACTTGTGGTAGCAACACGGACCCAAGAGGCACTTCCGCTTTGCCGCATCCCAAATGGCAACCATCCCAGACGAAAACAGAAACACCTCACAAGGGCGCAGCGGGTGGTTAAAGGCGCAATCAACGCCATACATGAAAGGGAATGCACCCAGAAGCGTGGAATAGGGCTTTATCTTTTCCAGTGGCCGAACCACTCTCGACGTTGCCAGGTTGTACAGGCAGACAGCATTGCCTAAGAAACAGACGATAAGCGGGGATACCGTACCATCGTCGTCGCAAAGATGAAAAGCACTCCAGCGCTTCCCGAAACAGTCAAAAGAGAGTTCCTCACTTGCAACTTCTTCCTGCTTTCCAATTAGATCTTCCAAGGGACAACGAGGTGGTGGCTTTGTGCTCAGTCTACGGTCTGAATATGCACATAGAGAATCCAATTTTGTATCTTGTCGTTGAGGACCATTATAGGGTAATATCTTATTTATCAGTGTCGTGGATAGGGAAACAGGTTCTTCTTGCTCGCTCGTGGCGGGAGGCAGCAGTGGGATGGAAAACCAGTTCTCATGTGAATGCAGTCGAGACCTATCAACGGAAAGGACGCTCAATAATGGCGTATGCGTCCTTTCCATCGTATCCTCAGGTAGAGGACAGGAAATAGATCGATCGGAGAAATTTTTCAGAGCAGAACATAACCAACGGCATACATCCGCCCCAAACACCTCACTTAGAAGGAAGATCAGCTCTGAAGTAGACATCGCAGGGCGCGTTTGAGAAAGAAAGGCGGCCACAAATTTTGCTATACTGTGCTGTAAAACTGCGAAAACGGCGCCCGACTGACGCTCCGATTCTCTCAGAAAGTATAAAATCGGCGGAAGACGTCGCAATACAGCCCCCACGCAATGCATCTGGTTGGCCGTCAAGTTCGAGGAACTACCCTTGAGAGAACAATTTAACAGGCTACAAAATACCTTGTTCAGTCCAGTGGCATCAGAGTTCAACTGGTCAAAGAGCTCTCTCGCACACGGGGACACAACCTCTCTAGCTAATCCCACCGAAGGTAAAGGTGGCATGGAACCCCTACTGAGGTTCACAAAACTGTTTCGATCTAGGAAAATATACGCGTTCCCAGTTGTAAAGCGATTGAAAAGATTCTTTGTTATATAAAAAAAACCCCGATAACCTACGCGTGAGCCGAAGTGGCCTTGCAAAATCAAGTGCGGTTCATTGCTCAAGACACTCTGCCCGATGATCTTTACCGTGGTGTAAAAACCACCCCGAGGGGCGGTACTTTCACCCGCGATCACCCCGTTCGAAAGGTTAAACCAGCTTGGGGAGGCCTTGATCACCACGAGGATGCTCCGACGCTGCCGTTTGAACGTCCAGAGCGTCGCGCGGATGTTGTCGAAGAGGTTCCCGTGCGGGCCGTCCACCGCGTACACCCCGCCCCGCCTCCGCGCAAAAACCCCGCGCAGGATCGCTGCGATATCCCTCCCACCCCGCCCCCACGCCTCCCAATCCCCCACCACCTCACTCGAAAAGGAGGAGGAGGGGCCCCGTGGAAAAGGTGACGCCGCGGCCTCCAGGCAGCCAAACGTGCACACCACCTCACAGGCGGACTGGAGCGTCATCCCCACACTTCCACGAGGCTGCCGCGCGAGGTGCCGGCCGGCGGCGTAAATAAAATACGGATCAATCGGAACCCGTTCGATATCCTCCATCGCACTTGCCACGGTCAACGCGCAGGAGATTTCCTCCTCGCCGACGTCATACACCGTTAAAGAGGACATATCCAAAATGCTAAAGCTGCACTCGGGCAGCTCCTGACCCTTTGAGGAGCTCAAAGAGAGCTTAGAGGATAGAAATGGTTCGTTTTTGGTGGAAAAGCTTCGAATAACGCCTCGAAACCCGTAAAGTGCGAAGCGCGATATTTGGCGCAAGCATTTACGCGAGCAGCAGGCCGATAAGTTTGCGTACTGCGCCATGGTTCGGCAAATGCGCAGGAAGACAGATGCGCTGAGGACCGATTGGTATTTTTCTAGATAGCGATCTAGATCATGAAGAAATAGCGTCAAGAGCGCAGAAGCGACATGCTCCACATTCGTGTAAGCGAAAGCATAACCACAGAGAGGGCACACCCCATCAACACTCTTGGGCTGAGGGTTAATGTTGCCTAATTTTTCATCAAGAATTTCTGCAAAACTGTCTTTCGATGCTACACGGTCCTCAAACTTTCCATCGGACCCTTTCCCTAAAAACTCTTGACGGAACTTCTTGATGATAGCCAGGGTGGGAATTTGCCATTTTCGATTCGCCCGTTGAGGGAAAGGACACCTCAGACTCAAGGATGGATCACTCACCGACCCATCTCCGAACACATTCGTGCGAGCGTAATTCGCGTAGGAGAGTAAATCCAACGTGATCTTCGTGGCGCACTCCTCGGAGCAGACAAAAAAAACTCCATTAGACACGTCACAGACTTTCTGAAGAAGTGCAAAAAAGGTATACAACTCTACCGCCGTGATATGCTGCTTCATCGTTAGCGTGAAGTGGCTATGCAGAATGGAAAAAACGACGCTTGGGCCTGGCAAGGACGGATTTGCCGCGCATCCATCTCGGCCTGAAGCGACGGGTTTATCGCACGCAGCGCAGTATCTTGTCGTCATGGCGCCCTGCATGTTTTGATGGCATCGCTGCCTTATGACATCGCGATTAGGAGCGTCATCGTCGAGCTCGACCTCGGTAATGTGGGAATTCCGACAAACAAGATTCAAGATGCGTTTGCCCCCCATCACAGTGATTGGGTTTCCACGCAAGTCGAGTCTCTCCAAAGTCGGGTGAGCGACAAAAGCATCGCAAATATGTTTGATATCCTCCACCTGGAGTCGGCAATGCGTCAAGCCCAATACATGAATTGCGCACCGTTGTAGAGTCGCCGTGATGGCAGCAATGCCATTCTCCCCAAGGTAATCATTTTTGAAGGCGATAACGACACTTTCGCTTTGAAGCTGCCTGAGAAATGAAGTGTTCGCGTGAATGTTAAGTTGCATACAGATTTTCATGTAGTAGTGCCGGGCTTCTTCGCTTGAAAAAAGCGTCTCGGTAGGGTCTGGCGCGACGGCGGTACCTCCCGCGGCTGCCACTATCTCCGTTGCTTGGCCCTTTCTTGGTAGCGCAATTACAGACATACGAAAACTAAGCTAACCTTTGTCTAGGCTATGGATACTCTCGAAGCGGGGAAACTAAGCAACTTTCCCTTTTAAAGAAAAGATGTGATAAAAAGGAAGCCTCTGAGACTCATAAGTTCTATAGAACCGCAAACAATTAGAGTGCGCGCATGTCCAAACAACAAAAATTCGATGCGGCATGGAATCCGCAGAAAGCATGCTTTAGTCAGAAGCAAAGTGTTATCCTTTCTCCCCTTTTCTTCCAGTGAGGCATTCGAAACACTGAAGAAAGTGACACTTTGAAACTTCCATATCTTCGATCACAAAAGAATTAAGTATGTCGATAGATATTTTAGAGAAAAAAAGCATAAAACAGCAACGGTATTCGGAAAGATAAAAATATGGACATTAAGAGAACATAAATATGTCTCATTGGCCAACGGGTGAATAAGTAGATATAGAAGTTAGACTCTTTCCAGAGATGATTCCATTTCCCGTATGTGTAAAAGTATACACACCCTATGATACGTGGAAAAGATACTCAGACACAACCAAATAAATTTATCGTCTAACTAAAACTTATCAAATACTCATCGTTCTTTCGATTTTGATGATTATGCGTGCGTGTGTCCCACACGTAAAAGTTGGTATCCAAAAGCACCGAATGAGCAAAGGCTTCTCATTCCTTATCCTGCCCTAGTTCATCAAGTGTCACTTCAGCTGAGTTAGGAAAATTTGAGCCGTGAAAGCGGCTCCCCTCATGTGCGTCATGCGCATCGAGGTCCTCCATACTCATGGTATCCGTAACGACACTCGACCCCTTAGAGGATCCATCAAGGTGGAAAGGCCACGTACTACGCACGAGGTACGATGTTACCATGCCCTCCAGTAAAGTGGCGAGTATCGCTTCAAAGACCTCCGTCCCTGTCTCCGGGATCATGACTGAAAAGGTGGAGCAGTAGGCGCGCAGCACGATTTGCACGAGAAGCGCAAGCACCACGCGACCCGTTCGCGCGCCAATCCGGCGACGACGCATAACTAATTTCGCCACCGTCAAGATGACCGATGGAACCTGCCAAGAAAAGAAATCGAGGTTCCACTCCGAATCGGGGTCGCTGGAGAACGCGTACGACGCATAGCTCGCATAGCGGATTGATTGGAACCTGTCGATCTTGGAGAGCACATCAGACCAGTTGGTCAGCATGTAATCCAGCAAGAAGCGCGGCGTGTTGATCGCGGCAAGGTATTGGACGGGCACCCAAAGCATCGAAATTCCCACCTCAGCTATCATCGAAAGCAGGTAACGAATAGCATCTCGCTCACTGGTCTCGAGTCCGCCTTTTTTGCCTAAGATTTTTTCTCGTATAAACCCCCTGCTTCCGTAATACACAGAAGAGTGAATACATAAGCGTATGATTGATCCATAGCCCAAGCGCAGGGATTCCACATAGGAATTTATGTTTTGAAGATACTGAAACTCTACATTGGGTTTAAACATCCTGTACAAATTATTCTCTACTTGACTTCACCTATGCAAAAGGGATAGAGTAATATATATATATATATAATATATTTATAAATGAGATCTTTCTTTGCAGAGTTCGCGTTCCCCACTCTCAATATTAGCAACTGTCGATATGGTCAATAAATATAAATCTGTATTTAAATTATTTAGGTATCTATAAGTAATCGAAGAGTAAAATGGAGTGACACAGAGGGGGTCGGTAATATATATGTAGATATCCTCATCACTTTCGCCAAGGAAATCAGCTATATAAAAGCAGAAGAAAAAAAATGAAGCTGGAGGTTCAACGTTTTTACTAGTTAAATGAGTCAACGTGTATTGAAAAAAAAATAGTCAAACTCCATATCGATTACTCGCTTGTACGCAAAGGGGATAATTTATCCACACTACAGCGATATAACTGCAAGAAAGAGTGCATATTCTTTGGATGAAAGCAGAAGGGCTCAAAGGATCTATTCCCATCGCGGAAGGTTAATAAAGCAACAGAAAAGGGAAGATAAATTTTTCTTCGCACCTTTACAATAAGACGTGTCACTTTTTATCTCTCCCCTCCTCCCCCCTCAACTTCCTCTTACGCACATCCGTACACCTAGACAAGCACCCCCTATGCTGTCCCCCCTAAAGGTGGGACCTTGGATGGGGGTAAGGAAATGGTGCTTGAGACCAATAGATATGGCTTTGGCAGGGCACCGGAGGCTGGCGAGAGGAAAGAAAAGAAGCGCTTGCCGATCTCTAAAAGGACGATATACCCCGCTACATTCGCCTCTGCGGCAGTTTCCACACTGTCCGCCCAAACGACTGCCGCAAGGCTGCATGACTTAATATCCTGCCAGGACATCAAGTCGAGTGTCAGAGAGTTCAAGAAGTACACCTCGGTGGTTTTTGCGACGAGTCGAGCAGGCAAAAGAGGCGTTCGAGGAGTTCCAACGAAGTATGAAACAAGTTGTTGAGTTCGCATTTCTGCGAGAAGCGAGGCGTTACGCTTCAAGATCAGTGACTGCTTAGGATACCGCATTACACGCACACTTCGACCGAGCACAGAATTCTCCATAGCCGTCTCCAGCGCCACGTCCGAGCCCGCGACGATGACATGCGTAGCAGAAAAAATTGCCGCGAGTTCAATCAGCAGATCCTGACCGAGCCCTGTTGTCCAGCCCATCGTGTTGATGATCATACCACCGCACTGAAAGTGCGGCTTCGCGAAGCCAACCGCGGTCGCGGCCTGCGCGATGCACGCACAAAGATCCAAATACCGCTTACGCGTCGCGACCGTTACGACTTTGCTACCGAAAAAGAAACTAAGCGGCATCACGGCGTTGAACGCCTCATCCACCGGGACGGGCCCCTCCATGAAGACGGCGGAGACGCTGCCCGGGCAGGAGACGCCCTGCTGCCCGACGTCCGCGTCGACAAAAGTGATCCCGCACCGCCGCCCGCGAACGCCGAGGTTCACGAGGGCGCGGCAGAGGCTGCTCTTGCCCATGTTTTGATCCCCCACGACTAACACGCGGGGGCCCGCGTAGGCCTCCTCGTCTGGATTCCCAGCCTCCCCACGCCGGTCGTTGGGCGAGGCCGCAGGGGCTGGGCGGTGCATCCCGAGCTCCACAAAGGCATCTGCCCGGGCGGCGTCGAGGACCGCGTTCAGGTCCTCTACCGTGGAGTCTAACACACTGTGGTGAGCCACAAAGTCGCCCTCCACGTCGAAGCGGGCGCTCACGGGGACTTCAATGGGAATGCTACGCTTGTCGAAGTGGTAGCGGGCATTGCGTGTGAGATTCGCACAGAATATAGAAGCACTGCCGTCAATCAGCACAACACTACCGACACCGTTAAAGTGCAACACGAGGACCGCACACTCTACTGTAAAGTTTTGGTGTGCTATGGCTGCCGGCGGACTGACTCCATTGAGCCCTTTCATGACGGTTTTCCTTTGGGAAAAAAAGTGCGGTATCAAGAGGAAAAAGTATAATCAGGACTACAGGTGTCGAAGTCACACTTTAAACGTAACTCAGAAAGAAAAAACGTATAAATATATTAATGAAAACAAAACAGTATTGCAGGCGTTCTGAATCAGTTGAAAATCCTCGATAAAACACTCCCCTGAAAAGTGATACTGATTTAATGGATGCTTATATAAAACTATAGTTGCATAGTTAGAGATATCTTCTCCTAGGCACACGCATTGGCGAGGAATGGAATGGGGACGATTCCTGTTCCAAGGATAATGCATCATGGAAAGCTTTCATCTTACTTTTATGCCCAGGACATCATCAACTAATATAACTTTAAATGACCCGTAATAGGACTGAGGCGACTCGAGGGTGACGGACCTAGAGCGACCACCACTACTCCCTCACCAACCTCACCCATCTCTGGTGCTTTCTTGAGGTTATTCACCGTAGCAGTCGCTGCACACCCACCACATGTGCGGTGTCCCTGGCGAGAAGGAAGCTGTGAAGGCGCTTGCTGCCAGGTGACGTAGAAGGGCAGGCCGTCCGCCTCCGCCGCTGAGAGAACACCGTCAAGCACATCTCTCTGAGGGCACTTAACCACGATCTTACCACAGCCGAGCCGATTCCACCACTTGTACCACAACAGCCACTCATCCATGACGGGCGCCGCGTCTTGTGAAGCGCCGTCTTCCCTAACAAGAAATTTCTCGACAAGCCCAACTGCTGCGGTAACGGCAAGCCTAGCCACCTCACTTGCTAGTGGTTTACCAGGGCCCTGATGCACAACAAGAATCATTTTAAGATTTAGCTCCTCCATACGCATGGACTCGCTTTCTTCCTCCTCACCAGTGGTCCAGGAAGAGGTATCGCTTTCCTGTGAAGATTCTATGGACGTATCAGAGCTCTCCAGACAATCATCATTATCAGTGGGGCCTTTTCGGTCCCTAAGGTGAGAATCACAACCTGCTTTACTGGATTCATCTTGTTTAGGGTAGGGATGCGCGTCGAGGGGTTGATTCAAGAATGATTCTCTGTAGCTTCTGTAAGACATGTTGCTAGAATGTGCAGGTTTTCCGGCAGCTGTGTCGCCCCTTGAGAAGTAGTCTTTTCCAGATACTGCTTTGAGAAGGTGCAAAAGCGCAATGACGAATACCGCACCACAAATCAATCCCATGATAGAAACATTTAGGTTGGTTGAAAGAGAGTCATCCATGCTTGAGAAAGGTCCATGAAGCAGACAACGTTGGCTCGTCTTGTTAGACAATGCACGGGAGCAGAAAAGTAGCACCATTCCGCAATATCATCCTTAATGGCACCTCCCTTTCTAGTAACTATTAGCTTTCGTGGCTTGCTTTGCTACCGCAGTAGGCTACCCTTATGGCTAAAAAGTCGGCCCAAGCAGACGCCATTCGGTAGGAATTGGTAATATGTTTGTCGGAATGGGAAAGGTGGAGTATGTGAAAAAGGAAAAATTGAATCTCAACGCAAAGTCAAGCTTCTTACTGAAATGTGCCTTTTTGGATCGAATAACACTCTTAGTTTCTCTGCGATTCTTTCTTCGATCGCTATTATGATCTTCTATGAACTCACCTATTATCTGTGTATAATATACTTCTACAATGGAACGTGCACCCATAAAATCTTATATAAGAAAAGCAGACACTCTGACGCAGTACTCATCATCCTTCACTGGTATCATCAGTACCCCTTCTTGTACGAATAATTTTTATGCAAACCCCGTGAGGAAGACGAACCTGACTAAGTAGAAGCTTCTTCGGTGTGCTGTAGAGTTGAAGCTTCTCACCTGGGACGTTTGCATCAACCACCGCGTCTCGGTTCTCTGGATTGGCGACGAACTCCGTGTTTGGGTTATGCATGCCCCTGGTTTTGGGCACCGATCCACGTCTACCCTCTGTGGTTGGTGATTTTATCCGCTGCGACGAGACTGTGAAGCCCAACGACGACAGGGAGCGCTTCATACCCTGCTGCATGAGCTTCGCCTCGAATGATTGGCTTCCGTCGAGGGTGTTTAGCCTTCGCTTGCTACTTCCACCCTCGTTGAACCCGGCACCATGCAAAGGGCCCGAATGCGGAAGGAAGCGCGCCGACACGGGGATATTCTCAATCCATGCCGCGGCCGTGTTTGACGGGTAAGGCCTCCCGCGAGTTGACAGCTGCGAGTGCCCATCGCGAGCCTGGGAGAGGCCCCCCCCTTTGTCGCCCATGAAGATGTCATACGCAAAGTCAACGTAGGATCGACTCGTCAGAGTCCTCCGGTAGCCCCGAGGGGTCCTCGGACTGCCATTCCCAAAGTTTGCGAAGGAGGGAAACGCGGGAGGGCGAGCGGACTGCGAAGTTGTCGGCCGCGAAATGCCCCAAAGAGCCCCGCCAACCTCCCTGGCCGTTACTGACGCCCGTGTGATGTGCTGCGGCGGTATGCTTTGGAAGGTGGAAAGATGACCCCGTCTCACCTCCTCACGCTCCACGACCTCCGCAAGGGGAAGCTGTTGAACAACCGGTCGTGTTTTAGAAGCGAGTTCGACTAACGACACGTTCGACGGCTCTGGCACCTTCAAGGAGGAGGTCTGAGATGGAACCATCCCCGAGGTCGATTTAGACGGGGCCTTGCAGTGCCCACCGTGGCCTCCGTTCGAGAGGCCAGCCCCGCCTCGAGATGGAGCATGCCACCGTGGGCTGCTGGTCATACCGAGATCAGCAACACCCGCATGTGTACGTGGAGTTTCTCGATCCTGGGTAGTGGGAACTTGTCTACTACTACTAGTGCTAAGCGCATCAGAGGATTGCACAATAACAGGCGCTTCAGGCGAAGCACGAGATGGTATTCGTCTGCCTCGACCTCCCCTATGCATCGAAGTGGGATCCGCATAATTTAAAAGACGGCGTCGATTTTTTGCCGTCTCAGTCGTCGCGGTTTCCATAGCCTTTCTCGACATAATCTTGTCCATATCTCTACGAGCGTAGAATGCTGACGTGCGTTGGAATGGGGTTTCAGAGCTCGTGGCATGCGACTGCAAATCGGTCTTGGGACTGCCTGTGGAGTCGGAGCAGACGAGGGGATGATCATTCCTGAAAAAAGAGCTGTAACCTTTATCAATGCCCGCATTCATCACCCTCCCATCTCGCAGAACATCGTGGTGGGGTTTCTTGTCCTCCTTCTTTTTCGCTGGATGCAGTCTTAGCTGCTGCAGCAGTAACATGGTGCTTATCACGTCCTGTAGGAGAGCCTCTCGATCCTTCTTCCATTGATTTGTATCCGCCTTAGGAATCGGTTTGAGCGCAGACCTGGTCGCCTCCACTAGATTACCAGTAGGCTTTGTGGTTCGGCCATTTCGTTTTTTCCCTCGTCCTTTAGTTCGAGATGAATCCGGACAGGGTTGATCTGGTACGGAAGCTGTGGAGAGATCCGTGAGCAGCAAGCTTGGTGTGAGCTTGGCAATAGGAGATTGGGGTTGGATTTCATAGGGTTCATCCACCCCTAGTTTGTACTCTTCAAACAGGCTCGAATAGCAGGAGTTAGAGCGTGGCAAAGGGGGCAGCATGGCTGTTCGTCGTCGGTATCGGTTAGCGAGCTGCTGCTCCTGGCGAAGCTCATTTTGGTGAAAATTGATCCGATCCCGCAAGGGGAGCCCACGCGCAAAGTTCATCGCATCCTGCGCCGATCCGATAGAGGAAGAATTGGGAAAATGGTTCAATATCTTTCTCTCTAGAGAGGGTTCCTCTACTGATATCAAAGGCGAATCCTCGATGGTATCGCTTGGCTGCATCCCCAAGCCAAAACCCGACGACGCCGATACAGATATATTAACGGTATCCATCTCCACCATAGCCCCACTGCCCGTCTTCGGACAAACGGATCCCTCGTCAAGCGACGGGACGAGTTTGTTGGGTGAGACGCTAAATAAAGCGCACCGGATCCGCTCCACGGTCTCATCGATGCGTTGCTCAACCCTTGAGCGGGAAAGAAAGGCACCGTTGTCCTCCGAGACGATATTAAGCTGCAAAAAAGCCGAGTACAGCATAAACTCGAGGTCCCCGACCACCGAGGCCGCGTCGAACCCCACGTTGTCCGGATCGTACGTCAGCAGCCAATCCCCGACCACCCAACGCGACTGCTTCGATGCCTCCGAGGCGCCATCCCGCGTCGTCAGGAGCTGCCACACCGCATCCGCGCTCAGATTCCCGTGCGGCGGCAGCGACGGACTCGCGCGGCCGAACGCCTCGACGACGCCGAGGATCTCCACAAAAACCCCCTCCTCCATCGCCCCCCACCCGCCGCGGACGAGATCCCCGAGGGAGAGCCCCGCGAAGGCCTCCACGGCGGCGACGCAGGCCGCGCC